GAATCCAGAATTGTCTTTTATAAGACAATTAGGATCTGTGAGGAAAGACCAGTCTCCGCAAATGAGCACACATGGGCAACATCAGAGCATTGATTTAGATAGGAGCCATTGTTTTTCTCAATGGAGGAATAACCTAGGAATATTAATGCAGATATAATCCCTCACAAGATATACAACCATGCTGTCACCTCAAACCACATAGAAAACATTTTCATCCTTCTCTTAGACACTTTGAAGTTTGCATTGTCTAGCATTGCACAGCTTATTACCAGTTCAGGTTGTTTGTGTTTACTGGCATGTTCTACTTTATTTAAACACATGATCTCTCCATGTGGCCCTGGCTGTCCCAGAACTGCTGTGTAGATCAGACTGTCTTGGAACTCTCAGATGGTCTTCTGCCTCTGATGGAGTCCAGGTGCACACTCCCACTTACTTGCATAATCGAGAGTAGCCACAGAAAATGGAGGGAAAAGTCTAGGCTGAGGTCCAGGATGTGTTTTCTGCTCATCTCATTTGGTGCCTCGTCAATGATTGATGTTTCCTTAGGAAGTGGTCCCCACACCAAACCCCCTGAAGATCCACACCAAGGGCCTCTATATCAGCATCTCCGTGTCTGTTGTGCTGCTGCTTCTCACGAGCATCCTGATGATCATAAGTGAGTAACTCTATCGAGCTTTCGGTGTTAGCAATGGGAGTGGGTCTCCCTGATTAATGATCACAAAATCCAAGGAAGGTTGGCAGAGCAAAATCTTTTTGTAGCATAGTGCAAAGCCTCTTTAAATCCACCGAGCAAAGTGGGGGTCCTGCTGAGCCTTCACCTCTAAAACAAAGTGGTCCTGTGCCTGTCTCTGAGTGCTCAGAGCTTGGCCTCGGATTCTCCTGAGACTGGCCCTATAAAGCAGTGTAGTAACTAGGGAGAATGGAGACTAAGCATAGATTTTGATCCTAGGAAAATGCTTACTCCATAGCTCTTCTTGCCAATAGAGTCTTCCCACATTTCTTTCAAGATGGCACTTCCTCTGTCTTCTTTAGCCCTTTGCTAGATGACAGTATGTTTCATGTATATTTCCCAGACCAAGGAACTAGAACAAGGATTCTCAGCCACTTTGAGTGCCTTCAAGTAACTCCACATGCCATGGGGTTCACATTTCATATGACTCCTCTGTGTTCCCCAATCTAAGATACATAATGCAGTCCCCTCTGGATCCTAGGGATGTGTTAGGAACTACTGTGCACTGAGATTGTTTCTAACATTTGTGAAGTGCTCAGTGAGCACTGTTACAGTATCATCAAGATTCCTGTTTCATCTAACTTGTAAAATTTAAATACTGGTGGCTCTTTTCCTAAGTTCCACTGTTCATTTGATTTGTTTCCTTTGCAGTTTTTGAGACAGGGTCTTGTACATCCCAGGCTGGCATTGAACTTACAGTGTAGCTGAGGCCAGTGTTGACCTTTTTATCCTTCTTCCACTACCATCCATGAGCTGTGCTTCAATTGTTGGTCATGTCAACAGAAAAACTAAACTCAAGTTTTCCTTAAATAAATTTAATATGGGCCTAGAAAGATAGTTCAGCAGTTAGGACCATGTACTGCACTTGCAGAGGATATGAGTCCCATCCCAACTCTTGCGTGGGTGAGTCATAACTGCCTTAACTACAGCTCCA